GTCCTTCAGATGTAAGTAGACTGCAGAGTCTTGACCTGAGAAGTTGGCCCTTCTGTGTTGAGCCATGCGTTTGTGTAGTGGTTGTTTAGTCTCCCCAATATACAGGTCTGTGCATTCCTCACTGCATTGGACCGCACACACTAGATTGCTTTTCTTGTGTTTGGGTGTGCGGTCTTTGGGGTGTACCAGCATCTGTCTTAGTGTGTTCTTGGGTTTAAAAAACACAGGGATGTTATGTTTGTTGAAAATCCTCCTGAGTTTCTCTGATACTCCAGACACGTATGGAATCACAATGTTGTTGCGTTTGACCTTCTTTTCCTCCTCCCCTGTAGATTTGTTCTTCTTGGATCTTGTGGCTGTCTTCACAAAGGTCCATTTAGGGTATCCACAGGCTGTAAGTGCCCCCTTCAGGTGGTTCTGTTCCTTCTCTCTGGCTTGGGCGCTTGTTGGTATGTTTTCTGCTCTGTGGTGCAGTGTTCTCATGACCCCTAGCTTGTGCTCCAGTGGGTGGTGTGAATCGAAGAGTAGGTATTGGTCTGTGTGTGTGGGTTTTCTGTAAACACCAATCTGCAGGCTCCTGTCCTCTTCAATGTGTACCACCAATTCAACCACCTACTTCCAGTACAACGGTGGATTGAATTGGTGGTACACATCTATATCCAACTCCTCAGGTCAAGACTCTGCAGTCTACTTACATCTGAAGGACAGAGGACACTCGTTTGAGGACCACCAGGTGCACATTTTAGACAGAGAAGATGGATGGTTTGAAAGAGGTGTCAAGGAAGCCATCTACACCAGGGTTGAGAAGCCGTCATTGAACAGGGGAGGGGGTCTACGCCACCACTTATCCCCCACTTACAATGCTGTCCTTTCATCACTTCCCAGGAAACTCAACAAACGTAACCTATTGGCCTCAGGTGAAGATACCAACGATGGTCGTTCAGTCTTGGCCACAGGTAGTCTCAACGACTGTAACGACTGTCGTCACAACACCAAGGAACACTAACGAACCAGCGGTATCGATGACCCGGGATAACGACCCCACTGAGGTTAAATAGCTGAGTTTCCCTGCCAGTCAGTCAGAACTGAAGAAGTCCTTTGGATAAGGGACGAAATGTCTTCCAGTAGCTTCAACCAAGTCCTGTTGCCCTTCATTTTAACCCTCGTTGGATAACTATGACCTGGATGACTGAGAATCTTCATAGACATACACCTTCTGGAGTGGCCCAGTCAGAGTCCTGACCTCATCCTGATTGAGATGATGTGGCATGACCTCAAGAGAGCGATTCACAGCGAAAACCAGGTATTTCCAAAGGGTTCACATACTTATTCCTGAGACTCAATGTACAGTTCTGGGCAAAGGTTTTAGGCAGAGGTGGAAAAATACTGTAAAGGAAGCTCACCTCCAAACATTGACATTGTAATAGACTATATTGATCAATTAACAAAATACAAATGAAGAGAAGGAAAATCTAAATCAAACCAATATTGGTGTGGCCACTACGGCTGGACCCGTGTATTCGATCGTTGGGTACACATACTTTTTTTTTTTTTTTTTTTTTTTTTTTACGATTTTCAATTTTGAGATTCGATTTTTTTTTTGGGGGGGGGGTGTTTGCGCGTCATCTTGGGGATGAGTCTGCCTACAGGTGGTAGATTGAGCATCTGGTGACCTGGTGCAGCAAGAACAGTCTGGAGCTCAACGCTCTGAAGACAGTGGAGGTGATCGCAGATTTTAGATAGAGCCCAGCCCCACCCTCCCCCATACCCTCCTGGGTAACTCCGCAGTCGCCACTGTGGACTCCTTCCGCTTCCTGGGCACCATCATCTCCCAGGACCTCAAGTGGGAGCTGAACATCACCTCCGCTCTGCAGAGCGGGTGATTGGTTGTCACCTTCCATCTCTTCAAGACCTGTACGCCTCCAGGACTCTGAGGCGAGCAGGAAGGATTGTGGCTGATCCTTCCCACCCTGGAAACAAATTAGTCACTCCCCTCAGGAGGCTGCGGTCCACCAGGACCAAAACCTCTCGGCAACAGTTTCTTTCCGATAGCAGTGGGCTTCCTCAACAATGCTTGGGTCCCCACTGTCACTGACTCTCATGCCCCCCTCCCCACCTTTAATGTGAACAATTCAATTGAAAAACAAATTGAAATCTTTGAGGGGGAAAAATGAAAAATAAAACCCCTCAAATAACCTGGTTGCATAAGTGTGTGCACCCTTAGACTAATACTTTGTTGAAGCACCTTTTGATTTTATTACAGCAGTCAGTCTTTTTGGGTAGGAGTCTATTAGCATGGCATATCTTGACGTGGGAATATTTGCCCCCTCTTTGCAAAAGTGCTCCAAATCTCTCAGATTGCGAGTACATCGCCTGTGCACAGCCCTCTTCAGATCACCCCACAGATGGTCAACTGGATTCAGGTCTGGGCTCTGGCAGCCCCAAAGCATGATGCTGCCACCACCATGCTTCACTGTAGGTATGGTGTTCCTTGGGTGATGTGCAGTGTTGTTCCCAAATGCTTTTGGGGGACTTGATGTTTTTTTTTTTTGCAGACTTCAGCCGTGCTTGGATATTTTTCTTTGTAAGAAAAGGTTTCCGTCTTGCCACCCTACTCCATTATAAAAAACTACATCAGATTGCTCTGATATTGACAGAGGGTCTCCCTGAGGTGGTCTGCTGTCACTATGAAGTGAAATTAGTTAGTGGAAACAGGAAGTTTTCTTTTTACATGAGTTCAAATCTTGGCTGAATGTAGTAAGCTTTCTGTGAGAATGTAATATTTTCTTTAGATACTTGTGGTGTCTTAAGCATTTATTTATTTATCCATCGTTTCTGCCACATCAACTGCATTATGTTCAGCAGAAGCTCACTTTTATGTGTTAGAGTTGACATGTTATTGGGGCTGTCGAGGGTCCCCGAGCCGCTGCTGTTCCCGTTGTCCAGTAATGCATCTTTATTTTCTTCTCGCAAGCTGTATTTTGTTTACGCAAGTAACTTCGTTTGAACGGGGTTGTTTGGTGCAGCTACAAATTGTGTCCGACAAGACACAAAAACAAAGAGAGCGGTTTGGAAGGGAAATGCTGGTCAAATTAATATTGATTTTATTTTATTTTCATCACTTACGTTTTCTGATTTTCTAACTGATGAATATAATCTATATAAACATGTCCATTTAAAATCATTCTTACTTTACAGAATTGTTCCATACCTGCCTAAAACTTTTGCACAGTTTTATATATAGGCTAGGAAAATATTATGAATAACCAAGATAGCAAAAAGGTAGATAGGGTACCATTCACAAAATAATGGAAAGGGTTGTTAAATTGAGAATACTTACTCACCCTCCTGCCCACCCACATTTATCAACGTGAATCCCAATTATTGTTTGTAAACAAAGTGTTTCCCGAATAAAAGCCCAACTGTGGGCGAATATCTGCAGCTGCCCACTTTAGATAAAACGCAGAAGGCGGTCAGGGTTGATAACAAATAAATCAGTGTGTGGGAAACACCAAAATAATACATTTTATTTACTGTAGAGGTCATTCAGCTTGATCATTGCCTTTATTAAGGAAAGTGTCTGCATCTGTGACTTAAGTAAAATGTATTAATGATATTGCTGAAGGCTGGAAATGCACAACATGAACCTATACACGCTGATCACGTTACAAGACTAGAAACACAGCTGGCATGGGTCTCAGTTATTGTTGACAGTTAAAGATATATGGATATTAGGGAGTTATGGAATAAAAGAGAAAAGGCTTAATAGCCAGTGGTAACTTACATGTTGATCCACATCGTTTATCCGTCATGGTTGTTGATTTTTTTTTTTTTATTGTAGAAAACACTTTATAGCATATTTCAACAATCTGAAACATAAACCGGTGTTGAAACAGTATTAGATTACAAAAAAGCCAAAATAAAACAAACCAAAAGAAAGAAGGTAATTGTGAGTCTTTATTTAAGACTGTATTTAAGGATTTTGTTAAATGTGGTTGATGGATTTTATCATTTGAGACTGAGAACATGCGTTGCTTTAAATGTTGCCGGCGCAAGGAATAGTGGGATGGCATTCTCTCCTTTCTTTTCCTAAAGGATGGTCCGGTGTACCCTATGCTAAAGGAGATATGAAAGGAAGCATTGAGGCACCTTTCCGTATTTCTCTCAAATATTGTTCACAAATCTGTCAAAGTCTGTGTTAGTGAGCACTGCTGAGATAATCCATCCACCTCACAAGTGTGACTTATCAAGATGCTGATAAGACAGCATGCGTATTGCACAGGTGTGCCTTAAGCTGGCCACAATAAAAGGCCACTCAAAAATGTGCAGTTCCATCACACAGCACAAAGCCACAGATGTCGCAAGTTTTAAGGGAGCGTTCATTTGGCATGCTGACTGCAGGAATGTCCACCAGTGCTCTTGCCCGTGAAATGAATCTTCATTTCTCTACCATAAGCCGTCTCCAAAGGCGTTTCAGAGAATTTGGCAGTACATTCAACCGGCCTCACAACCGCAGATCACGTGTAACCACACCAGCCCAGGACCTCCACATCCAGCATCTTCACCTCCAAGATAGTCTGAGACCGGCCACCTGGACAGCTGCTGCAACAATCGGTTGACATAACCAAAGTATTTCTGCACAAAATGTCAGGAACCGTCTCAGGGAAGCTCATCTGCATGCTCGTCATCCTCATCGGGGTCATTCCGCAGGTAACAATCAACAACCTCATCAAATCTCCCCCAATACAGTGAAACTGCACATTTTCAAGTGGCTTTTTATTGTGGCCAGCTTAAGGGACACCTGTGCAATACGCATGCTGTCTGATCAGCATCTTGATATGCCACACCTGTGAGGTGGATGGATTATCTCTGCAAAGAAGAAGTGCTCACTAACAGATTTTGACAGATTTGTCAACAATATTTGAGAGAAAAAGACCTTTTGTGTACAAAGAGAGTCTTAGATCTTTGAGTTCAGCTCATGATGAATGGGGGCAAAAGTGTGCATTTATAATTTTGTTTATTGTATGAGAGGAGGACATTTTGTTAGAAGAGGATAGACTTTAAAGTACCCAAATTACTGTTGTTAGTTAACGTATATCTGTACATGAATAATACACTGAATGTATTTGGTAAAATTTCAAAGAAAAAGATATTGCGGTGTATCACTTTTTTTTTTTTTTTTAATATCGTGCAGCCCTAATGAAGGACAGATGTAGTTTTCAGCGCCATCAAAACAACCTCCATCACCACGTTTCAGACAGAACAGGCTGATAAAATGTGTCTTTTAGGACGTGGATGCGTTCAGAATTGGGTTTTCTTCCCCCTGGTGGATCTTCATGTGTGTTTTCAGACAGTGGCTCTGAGTGAACGCTTTGCCGCAGACCGTGCACTTGTAAGGTCTCTCTCCGTTGTGGGTTCTCATGTGGACCGTCAGGTGTTCTTGGCGAGAGCTCGCTTTCCCACAAACCCCACAGACAAACCGCTTGATGCCCAGGTGGGTCCTCACATGGTTGTTCAGGTAAGTCTTGTGTTTAAAGCAGCGGCCGCACTCTGAGCAGCTGTACGGCGCCTTGTCGGTGTGCAAACGCATGTGCGCCTTCAGGTCGCCGTTGGATACGAAGCCTTTGCTACATATGCTGCAGATGAACGGCCTCTCGTTGCTGTGCGTTAGCATGTGAGTCGTCAAGCTGCAGTTTGAAAGGAATGTCTTGCAGCAGATGTGGCAGAGGTACGGCCGGTCTCTCGAGGTGTGGATCTTCTCGTGTGCCTTCAACGTTCCGGGAAGTTTGAAACGCTTCCCACAAACCTCACAGCCGTAACGTCTCTCCCCTGAGTGGGTCGCCTTGTGACGAGTTAAAGATCGCCGGTCAGCCAAAGATTTACCACAAACATTGCAGTGGTACTTGGTGGTACTACCTGTGTGTACCTTGCTGTGAGCTTTGAGTTGCGTCTTTAGACCAAACGCCTTCAGGCAAATATCACACTTGTGTGGTTTATCAGCCACGTGGATCCAACGGTGAACACTCAAAGCAGACCATTGACCAAAGGTTTTGTGGCAAACGTCACATTTAAACGGTCTGTCTCCTGTGTGTAGAGTGGTGTGGGAGTTGAGGCTAGTTTTGGTGAGGAAAGATTTCCCACAATGAGAACAGTCGTGAGTTTTTTGATAGTTTCTAAGATGTCCCTTTAACTCTTCAACAGATTCAAACTTCTCTCCACACACTCCACAAACAAGCTGTGATTTCTCAACGTGACTCAGGGCGTGTTTGATCAAACTGCCCAAGTTCCGGTACAAAACTCCACAGACTTTACAAGGCGTTTTACTGCTCCCAATCAACTGCCCCTTCACACCAGACAAATTGGACTCTAGCTTCTTCCTCTTTTTTGGCGACTGCAGCTCAGGATCTGGTTTCCAGTCGTCGTCTCCGTCAACCGCCTCATCTCCATCTTTGTCTTCGTCATCACTGGAGTCCACTTGGCTCTCAGCAGCATCTTCATCATCAGCTTCCTCCGTTTCCATGTCTTGTTGTTGTGATGTTGAGCTGCTGGACTGAACATCCACTTTGTCACCTTCCACATGCTGAACAGAGCAGCTGTGGGGAAAAATGTAAACATTACTTTGTGCATACACAGATAATTGTAGTGTCCTCACATTAATCCGGACCAAAGTTTAACATAAAATACAACAATTATTACAAGGTTCGCTGTGTGTGATAAAACTGCGCATTTTCAAGTGGCTTTTTATTGTGGCCAGCTTAAGGCACACCTGTGCAATACCCATGCTGTCTGATCAGCATCTTGATATGTCACACCTGTGAGGTGGATGGATTATCTCGGCTCACTAACACAGATTTTGACAGATTTGTGAACAATATTTGAGAGAAATAGGCCTTTTGTGTAAATAGAGAAAGTCTTAGATCTTTGAGTTCAGCTCATGATGAATGGGGTAAAAAACAAAAGTGTTGTTTATAATTTTTTTCAGTGTAGTATCTTTCCACCACAAAATTAATTTGAAGGCAAACTATATAATAAATTTGAAATAAAAAGCGACGGCCCATTCAGAGACTGACTTTGCATCAGACCTGATCTCTGGACGACTTGTTGTATGGAGTAAACACAACCTGGTACTACTGAGCACACAGAGGGGACGGCAGAGAAATTTCTACAGAACTTTTGATCTTTCTTTTCAAACACTGAAAATAAGTCATTTGCTGGAATCTGTTGCAACAGAAATTAACGCAAGTTCTTTTTAAATTACCTTGAGCTGAGCTCGGCTTCATTGCTTTCTATCACCACGGCGGCAGTGGACGAGGACTCAGTGGTGGCGTCGTTTCTCTGTAAAAGGCGGAGCTCCTCCTCCAGTTCCTCCTCCTCCTCTTCCTCATCCTCCTCTTCCTCATCTCCTGTCTGCAAGAATTTGTTCCCAAATTATATTTAAAGAAAATTCAACGGATGCTGGTTCAATTCAAAGGGTAATGTAATTTTTGACTATCTCAGAGGAAACCTCAGGTAGTATCAGGGCCTTACAGAGCAGGGACCTGTACGTGGTAAAAGAAGACGGGTAATACTACAGTATCTACCTTCAGTCGGATGTAGAGGGCTGAGTATCCTGCTCCGGTGAGCCTGATGCTCCTGAAGATCTCTTCTGGTGTCAGCGTCTTTACTTTGAGCCGCTGGAGCCTCCTGCTCCTGTCGGACTTGAAGACGTTAAAAGGTTTGTTGTCTCCTGCCAGCTGAGGGAAGGTGGACCTCAGCAGGTCCAGGAAGTCCGCCTCCTGTAGGCCACGAGGACACTGCAGCTCCTGAACCGGATATTTCTGAAACACTGAAACAGATAAAGATTCAGCAGGTGTTCCACATTACCTCTTAACAACCTCCATCCAACACATTTAGTGCATCCAGAACTACATCTTTAAAGTTCACCATTTTTTGAAAGAACATCTGACTGGGAATCCTCCAGTACGCAGACTCTGAGGAGGTGGTGATTGGGTTCTACGCGAAGGCGTGGTCTGCCAGGCTGCCTCCTCACAGACGAATCTCTGGGAGACAATACCCTGATAGATGGTGAACAGAAGACACAATATCTGATTATCCTGCTGTCATCTATGAACGTTACTATTAAGATAAATATCCCCCGTCATGTCCCGGCAGCTCGAACACATCATCTACTTCTCTCCCTCACAGGGACCTGGAATATCCTGGTAACCTGGTAACCTGGTAACGTAACTAGGTACTTTTATCACCCAGTAATAAGTAAAGTAATACTATTACATTTTAAAGGAGTAATGAGTAACTTGCCCCACACTGGTTTCAAACCCCACATAAAGTCTGTTGATCAGTCATGTTTTTACCACCAATACAAATATAAACAAGGTCAAGTCTTTCATTTCTGCCAAAGATCTGGAGAAACTCATCCATGCCTCTAACTCTACTCTAACTCCCTTTAAAACTGTCTCAGTCAGAAATCAGTTCATCGCCTACAATTAGATAGGGCCGGGCGATATGGCCAGAAATTTTAGCACGATAAAAACATTTCATACCGTCGATATCGATAATTATCACGATAAACGTCAAATAATTATTTCTTTAGCGTTTAAAGGCTGATTTTTGCTCCCGAGTGAAAATTGAAGAAACCAGATGGTTAATCGTGGTTTTAAACTTTTCTTTATGGTCAGAATGTGACAAACACTTTTTGCCAAACAGTGGATCACTTAACATATCTGAGGTAGAACATTCGAAAAATTATGATAAAATCTTTTTCAACAAATATGAATAGTGAATATTTTTATGTTCATTTCAGGCGGGGATGAGTCCGCCTACAGGTGGGAGATCGACCATCTGGTGACCTGGTGCAGCCAAAACACTCTGGAGCTCAACGCTCAGATGACAGTGGAGATGGTCATGGATTCAGAAAGAGCCCAGCCCCACCCTCCCCATCATCCCGTTGACTCCCCCGTCGCCACGGTGGACTCCTGCCACTTCCTGGGCACCATCATCTCCCAGGACCTCAAGTGGGAGCTGAACATCACCTCCCTCACCAAGAAGGCCCAGCAGAGGATGTACTTCCTGCGGCAGGTGAATACGTTCAGCCTGCCAAAGACAATGATGGTGCACCTCTACACCACCATCATTGAGTCCATCCTCACCTCCTCCACCACCATCTGGTACGCTGCTGCCACTGCCAGGGACAAGGGCAGGCTGCAGTAAATCATTCGGTCTGCAGAGAAGGTGATTGGCTGCAATCTTCCATCTCTTCAGGACCAGACGTGCCCGAAGCAATAAACGCCTGTTTCAAAGAACCGACCTGTGTCTGTGTTGTTGTGAAGAGAGCTACAAACAGAATGGCTTCAGCAGAAGAAAATCCACCTTCTGGAGTGGCCCAGTCAGAGTCCTGACCTCATCCTGACTGAGATGCTGTGGCATGACCCTCAAGAGAGCGATTCAAACCAGACATCCCAACAATATTGCTGAACTTTAACAGTTCTGTAAAGAGAAATGGTCCAAAATTCCTCTTGACCGTTGTTCAGGTCTGATCTGCAACTACAGGAAACGTTTGGTTGTGGTTATTGCTGCCAAAGGAGGGTCAACCAGTTATTAAATCCAAGGGTTCTGCACACTGCACTGTTTACACAGTGTGTTCAATACAAATATGAAAACATGTAACTGTTTGTGTGGTATTAATTTAAGCAGACTGTGTTTGTATAGATGTCTGGATGTAGTGGCAGGAATGACCCAAGTACCTTAAGTCAGGGAATTGAGTAAATGTATATAACAAATTTGAAATAAAAAGCGACGGCCCGTTCAGAGAGAAGTTACTTTGCATCAGACCTGATCTCTGGACTACTCGTATGGAGTAAACACAACCTGGTACTACTCAGCACACAGAGGGACAGCAGAGAAGTTTCTACAGAACTTTTGATCTTTCTTTTCAAACACTAAAAATAAGTCATTTGCTGGAATCCGTTGCAACAGAAATCAATGCAAGTTCTTTTTAATTTACCCTGAGCTGAGTCCGGCTTCATTGCTTTTTATCACCACGGCGGCAGTGGACGAGGACTCAGTGGTGGCGTTGTTTCCCTGTAAAAGGCGGAGCTCCTCCTCTCCTGTCTGCAAGAGTTTGTTTCCAAATTACATTTTTAATAAAATTCAACTGATGCTGGTTCAATTTAAAGGGTAATGTAATTTTTGACTATCTCAGATGAAACCTCATGTAGCTTCAGAGCCTTACAGAGCAGGGACCTGTACGTGGCATAATAATACTACAGTATCTACCTTCAGTCGGATGTAGAGGGCTGAGTATCCTGCTCCGGTGAGCCTGATGCTCCTGAAGATCTCCTCTGGTGTCAGCGTCTTTACTTCGAGCGGCTGGAGCCTCCTGCTCCTGTCGGACTTGAAGACGTCAAAAGGTTTGTTGTCTCCTGCCAGCTGAGGGAAGGTGGACCTCAGCAGGTCCAGGAAGTCCGCCTCCTGTAGGCCACGAGGACACTGCAGCTCCTGAACCGGATATTTCTGAAACACTGAAACAGATAAAGATTCAGCAGGTGTTCCACATTACCTCTTAACAACCTCCATCCAACACATTTAGTCCATCCAGAACTACATCTTTAATATTCACCATTTTTTGAAAGAACATCTGACTGGGAATCCTCCAGTACGCAGACTCTGAGCAGGTGGTGATCCGGTTCTTCTCGGAGGCTTGGTCTGCCAGGCTTCCTCCTCACAGACGAATGTCTGGGAGATGGTCGACATAAAGCACAATTTCTGATTATCCTGCAGTCGTCTATGAACATTATTTTTAAGATAAATATTCCCCGTTATGTCCTGGCAGCTCGCACACATCATCTCCTTGTCCCCCTCAAAGGGACATGGAATATCCTGGTAACCTGGTAACCTAGTAACGTAACTAGTTACTTTTATCACCTATTAATAAGTAAAGTTACTATTACATTTTTAAGGAGTATTAAGTAACTTTTTTTAATTCTGAGTAACTTGCCTCACACTGGTTTTAAACCCCACATAAAGTCTGTTGATCAGTCGTTTTTATCACTTAAGAAATATGACCAAGGTCAAGTCTTTCATTTCAGCCAAAGATCTGGAGATACTCATCCATGACTTTATCTCTTCCCACCTCGACTACTCTACTCCCTTTAAACCTGTCTCAGTCAGAAATCAATTCATCGCCTCCAATTAGACCACAACGCTGCAGCAAAACATGTGACCATATCACCCAAGTTTCAGCATACTTGAACTGGCTGCCGTTTTCTTTTAGGATCAAATTCAAAATTATTTTAATTACTTTTAAGGCCAGACATGGATTAGCACCTTCATGTCTCTGAGCTTTATATCCCTATGAGCCAGGACGCAGACTGAAAACCAAAGGAGACAGCGCCTTTGACTCTGGAACAGTCTACCAGAGGAGATCAGGCTACCAAAGAGTCTCTTCCTGGTTTCATCTCACCTCTTAAGACTAATTTATTCTAAAAAACTTCTAATGTGTGATGCCTAATTATTTCCTCCATTATTTGAATATTGACGGTTTGTTTATTTACTTTATTCAAACCACAATGTGATGCATAATTGATTTTTGGCTTAAATTGTACATGGCTTTGTTTTAAATTTGATTCATTTGAAAAATGTATTACAAAGTTTATCAAGACATTTAGCAGGAGAATGTAAGGCCATCTGTCCACAGTTGAAGCTGAACAGAAGATGGCTGCAACAGGACAACAATCCAAAGCACAGAAGTAAATCAACAACAGACTGGCTTCAGCAGAAGAAAATCCACCTTCTGGAGTGGCCCAGTCAGAGTCCTGACCTCATCCTGACTGAGATGCTGTGGCATGACCTCAAGAGAGCGATTCAAACCAGACATCCCAACAATATTGCTGAACTTTAACAGTTTTGTAAAGAGAAATGGTCCAAAATTCCTCTTGACCGTTGTTCAGGTCTGATCTGCAACTACAGGAAACGTTTGGTTGTGGTTATTGCTGCCAAAGGAGGGTCAACCAGTTATTAAATCCAAGGGTTCTGTACACTGCACTGTTTACACAGTGTGTTCAATACAAATATGAAAACATGTAACTGTTTGTGTGGTATTAGTTTAAGCAGACTGTGTTTGTAT